TGTAAAAGTTTATTTATTTATTTATTTTTATTGTAAATTATTTTCTTATCGTCGATATTATTAATTTCAAAGTCCATATACAATTTTATTATATAGAAAATTCATTTACATACGGAATGTTTTTTCTTATCAATACGAGAAAATGGAATGGCGTAATATTTTTTTTATTTTAAATTATATAATATTATATTACATTTTCTTTACTCATATTTTTGTGTCGAGAGAGAGAGAGAGAGACACGTGTGTACAAAAAGAAAAACGTTTATAAAGAAAACAAAACAAAACAAAACAAAAATTATACGAGACACAGTGTTTTTTTCAGACGATGTGTCAAATGTTATTGAATTTTTACGTTGTTTAACACGTACAATAATTAATCTGTTGTTTTTTTTCTTAAATTCCGATATAAGTATGACATCAAAGATTTTTGCATAATAATATACTTTTATACTTTGTTTTTTCTTTTTTTTTGTTTTTTTTTTTTAATTATAGGTTTAATGTTACACGTGAATTTCAAAAAAAAGAAAAGAAAATAATAAACAATTAAAAATTATTCCTATCCTTCAATATCATTTTGCAAGGTAAACCTATTTTTTTTTTTTTTTTTATAAATAATCTTAACATTTCGATAAATAATATACATTTGTGTAATAATAAAGAAATATATAAATTCCTTACGACTATATAACGCGGTAAGTTAAAATTTGTAAGAGGTTTTCTAGGAATGTCTTTTTTCAACCATCCTGTTACCTTAAATACATTGACCTTGTATCGAAGAACAGGTTTCTTTTTTATTACATTTTAAAACTTAGGTTTAGGTAAATGTACATATTCATTAAATATAAAACTTCAATCGGTTTCTCGTGTTTATTATCATTAAAGTGTCTCTGGTATTTTTATTACTCTCAAATATTAATACTTGCTAATTTAAAATATTATATAAAAATAAATGTATTCATTAATTTTAAATATAATTTTGTTTTGATGTATTTTAAAATTATTCAAATATATCGCACATATTATTATTCAAGTATTAATACTTATTGTTAGAGTATAATTAAAAATTAATAAAATAATGTAATTCAATTAAAAATAATCAGATATAATGATCATACTTTTTCATACTTATGCATATTTAATATTTTATATATTTATGATATAGTAGAAGATTTTTTCTCGCTTAATTTAGCAATCCCAAAAATAAAGAATATTATTATATTTCAAATCGATTAGAAAAAAAAAAAACAAAACAAAAATATTCAACATTTATTGATTCATTTTGTTTCATATAATA